TTGATTAGTTCCCTGCTTTATTCAATTAGAATTCTGTATTAATTGATTTGAAGAAAGTTTTATGAAATAATGTTAGATGTATTAATTTAATTAATGTAAAGAAGTTGTAGATTTTATTAATCATTAATCAGTATTTTGGGTATCGTTAGGGTAGTGCAGGTTGGGTGACAGCCCAGAGCGCTGGACAGAAATGAATTTGTGAATGAGTCTCATATAATCCTGTTAATTCAACCATAGATCTCGCCCAGGGCTTGAGTAAAGTTAAAATTGGTACTAATTGACTGACTTTTTTGTTTTGACAATCCGTTTTACTGATTTTAACTAAAGAAGTCGTAGATTTTTTTGCGAATTTTTTGATTGTTTTATTCAAAAAGTTGTGACTTTACGAAGTTACGTGAAATTATGACTTCTAATAATTAATTTGTTACGATTTCAAGTATTAATGTTTTAGTCCAAGAACGTAATAAATAAATGAATGTTGTCCTTACCAACGTTGACGTGTCGGTCAGACTAGGTTCGAACCTCGCCGGCTGTCTAGGCAGCTGATAAAATATTCATCGCACGAAGCATACCTCATGCTGTAGTTGTATAATTTTGTTTTAATATAAACAATAATTGTAAACACGTAAAGAGTTTTATTAGGGTCATAGAGGTCGAGCAAGTGTTCGTTTACAAAATTGATTTTTCATTTGCTATTACAGTGACTTCTCAAGCAATGAAAGTATTTTAAGGCTGTCTGCTTTTGTCGAATCCAGTAAATTGTACGAGAACAGAAATAAACAACGAATACTTTTGCATCTGGTAGAGAAACAATCAAAACATAATCTTGCCAGGTGACAGTATTATGGTATAGATTTTGTCCTGGAATAGGTAATTAAATTATAAAAAAGAATTTCCTATAGGCGGATATACTGGAAATGACATAATAACAGCCTTTACGACCGTGTATTTTAGTAGGGGATAGTCCGATGAAATATTTTACGGTGGCCCTCCGCGTAGTCCCCGGCGCCAGCGCGCCCCCTAACGGCGGGGGCGTTGAATTCTCGTAAATGCCGTAAGCTCTGCTCTTCACCATGATTAAGAATTTATGAGACACCTCAAAAGATACTTGTGTAAACAATAGTTTGGGATAATATCTGATATCTATATTAGAAAAGTTTTTTAAATTCCATGTCGACGAAGTCGCGACCAACAGATACTCTTACTAATAATATAAAGGCAAAAGTTTATTTGTATGGATGAATGTTTGTTAGGGTTTCTAGACTAAACTTCGCAACGGATCTCAATCAACTTTAATGTAGGTGTAGAGCGTAGTCTGGAAGAACATTTAAGATGTTTACTTTTATTTTTAAACCCACGCGGAAGGAGTCGCGGGCGAGCTAGTATTGAACAAAATGTAAAACTTGTTTACTTATAGTGTTTACTGACGAATACAAAAGCGTATTATCATTCTTCTCAATCGCGCTATCATTTATTTTTGTATGGGCGTGTAGTGTAAACTGTTCGATATACACACAACAAAGTGCTGATGTCACACGACGTGATAGTGAAAGAAAATTGCGGAAGGAAAAGCACATTTCCGAATAAGGATAGTAACGTGGCATTTCGTAGACATGAAATATGGATGATGTATATGCGGAAGTAACATAGTACAGTATTTGTAATGCAAAAGATCGGGAAAAGGTACAATATTGCGAACAAACATTCGCAGATCAATAAAGTCCCTTATACCATCTTCCTATTGTCGGAGTCAATGAAAAAGGGTCAGATAGGAATTTTCATACTTTACATACTGTAGTTTTTATTCATGAGACATCAAAATTAAAGCGACCACTATTTGATTTGATAAATTTTGCTAACAAAAGGTGAAAGTTGAATCGTCTACGATCGATCTACGAGAATGAGCTCTACGAAATTGCTACGATAACGAGTTATTACGAAACTGGAAAGCTCTGTCTATTTTTATTATGTTTTCAAACTAATTGATAACATATTCATAAAATTAACACTTGCAGTATTTAATTGTAAAATACCATGTTAGGGAAAATAAAACATATTCCCAAATGGCTAGCGGAAAGACATTGATGTTATTAAGTGTGACTGTTGTCGAGATTAATTTTGTACAAGCCTCCAGCCGCAGCCTCTCGACGCGCTCCACACCGGACAGACTTTATTATTCATGAGAGTGCAGCCTCTTTAACAATTCAACCGTGATTCCTGTTTTCTAATGTATCTTGTCTTGTTTTTACTATCCATTAATCTATACTATTATAATAAAGCGTAAACACACACTTCTTTGTTGCCTAAGACGTCAGCAATTGCAGTATATTTTTGAATAATTCTTATTTTAATAGTTTAAACCGCATCCGCATAACATATCACCGCATTAAAATTAGGGGGTAAATAATTTGGATAAAAACCCTAATGTGGGAAAGAGATCATAAGTTGCTGCCAACAACAAGAAAGTAAGATTGCCAAGGTTTGTCATGTCATGTCCTTTTGACAATTGCAATCGATAATTTGACAAATGTGAAAAATAAAATGATTTTTTTTATAATTTCATGCGGATGCGAACAGCTACTATGTCTATAATTTGGTTCCCGTTTTATTTTTACCTCTAACTAAATCTAAACAATTGAAAATCGTTACAAGAATAGTTACAGTACTTCCAAGTAATCGTAAAGTTATACTTTATTGTGGTGTGCATGTTTCTCGAACCATTAAAAGCATTCAATCAAAATTTTACGATAAAATCAAGCGAACAACACGCGACAACATGTAAAAAGGTTTGAAAGGTATGAGCATATTTTTATCGTGTTCGCTGCGGTGGCGGTGAGCACTAAATGTAGAGTTACAATCGATTATGAACGAGGGAGTACCTTCGTGTGAAAAAGTACCGGGACCATTACTAATGTTTTATATTATATGAATAATGTTACTCTTACTATTATTATAAATGCGAAAGTTTAGATGGATGGATGGTTAGTTGTAGTCTAAACGGCCGAACGGATCTCGATGAAATTTGGCATTAATGTGGATAGTCTGGAAGAACTTATACTACTCACTTTTGTTTTTAATAATTCCACGCGGACGGATTTCATGCGAAAGCTAGTTCGTAATACTATACATTTTAATGAAAATCTCATGCTTAAATTATTCTTTCATCGACACATTAAACATATATATATACTGAATGTTACGATAAATTTAATATAACATTACTTCGGAGAGGTGTTACGTTTTAATCACATAACTTGGAATTGAGAAAATTGAGTAAGTTGATTTACGAGTGAAGATTGCCTCGACCCCTCCCGCTTTCTCCTAACCTCGAATATTTACGGCGCGGTTGCTAGTCTCGAGTTTATAAACGTGATTGTAGCTTTCAAAGGGAAAAGTACTACCTTTTTTATATACTACACCTACACGAGTAAACTGTGTATTTCTTTAAATATGTTTTGTATGAATATAATTTAGTCTGTTTAAATATATCTATTAGATATTTTTTGTGTGCCTTATGCCTAATTTTAGTCCCTTTACCTTTCCATTCGTTTCTTATGACAAAAGGATGGGAAGGGAAAGTGATGATGGTAGAGGAGACGCATAGAAATGAGAAATATTGTCTTTTTGAGCGTATCTTCCTTCGTCGATAGGCAATGCATCTGGAATTGCGGAATTCTATGGGCAGCGGTCTCTTCGCCTTTTCGGTTTAGGTTGCCACTCGCTTATTTGCGCTTATTATTTAAAATCACACGAGCATAGATTATAATATAAAAATGAATATTTTTGGCATTATTTAATAACTTTCTGAACGATGTTATTAGGATAAAAGGGTTATTTAGATAAAGTTTAAAATGTATACAAATCAAAACTGTACAGTCGTAGTAATAACCGCAAGGCATGTGAGGTTAACCCGAACTACAGAGAGTTTGATGACGCGCACAAAGATAAAACTATTTCCCACTTAAACAACAAAATCTGGACTACTAATGTGGGTTTCTAAAGTTTCCACTTATTTTGTTTGTATTACCTAGCAATTCATTAGTGTTACGTTGACCCAAATTTAACGGAGCAAAACTCAAGTAACGTAGCTCGACGCCGTTCATGAATTTAGCGAAACAAAAATACTAACGAATGGTTAAATGTAGCTGGAAAACCGGCCATAAATCTATTTGATTTTCATTAAAACGTTAGATTCCATTTTCAGAGTAAAGAAAAAAAAACTCGTTTAACTAAATGTAAATGAAAACAGGGTGAAAATTGATCTAGATGACTTTCAAACTTGTGCCAGTTTCTATTTATTCACGACATCGAGTAATCTGGAAGTTTCCAGACCTCAAGCGAAACTTATGTATTTCAGCATTTGCTGAGAATATGAGTCGTATCTAAATAATACGTTTACTTTTGAGTTTGTGTTGTGTTAATTAAATAATGCTCCTCATCTATCATTGCCAATGTGATTTGTTGAAATACACTACAAATGTACCATTACGCTGATCTTTAGTTAATCGAAAATTTAGGTGAAATGTTTAATAATTTGTTGAAGATAAATATTAGCTAACATTAATAATAAATACAGCGTATGTGGTAATGTAAATATTGTCTATTTTAATTACTCCATTGGGAGTTAATGATGTGAGTTAATTGCTCTTCAGAGCTTTGATCGTGCGGCAAATAGTTTCAGGCGAAAATCTACAATATTAATAGCTGCATGTGTTATTTTACTGATTTTACCAACGAAAATTAAAACATATTTTATTTACTTAACTTTTATTCGTTTTATATCTAGCACATGGAAAAGATTGTCAATGTAAATTTTTAGACTGCTATGACAGAAGTGCTATAAACATAATAAAAAAGGATGCGTAAAGAAACCGCAGGATTTTTTGAGATAAAATGTTATGCTTTTTTAAATTGTAATTAGCATTTATGTATGAGTGTGTTTTGTGCAGAGTTTGTAGTGGGGGCGCGTGGCGCGGCGTGGCGCGGCGGGCGGCGGGCGCATGGCGCTGCTGTACCGCGCGACGCGGCTCAAGGACCGCGCCGACACGCACGTGTTCACATTCGTGGTGACGCGTTCGGCCACGCGCGAGCCCGACCGCGACGTCACGTCTAAGGACTTCTGCTGCTCGCACCAACGTTGGGCAGTCGCCTTTAGCCGTACAGACGCCTCATTAGGTACTATATTAATAGAAAATAATGCCTCTAACTAACTACCGAAATACACATACATATATGTCACATACATTTCCTGGTAGGCTTAACATAAAGAAAACCTTTTACAATGTTTTAATTTAAAGACATAAGCATCAAAGGCATGTAAAATCAACATTTTTGTTACCCACGCTTTGAGAATTTTCAAACACACGAAATTCAACTGTTTTGATAGGATCAACTCGTATAACAAAAACATGATTAAAGTTTTCACATTACTTTACCAGGTGTGTATTTGGTATGGCGCGGCGCGTGCGAGGGCATGCGCGTCTATGTGGACTTCACATTCACTCTGCTGAGCCGCGACCACTTCACCGCCAACGAGGGCTTCTCCGGCAAGCAGGTGCGGTTCAGTTCGGGATGCGCGGCACAGGGTCGCGGCCGGTGCATCACGCTCGCCGAGCTCACCGCGAAGTTCGCGGACGCGCGCGGCGAGTTCCAGCTCGAGCTCACCATGTCGAAGGTCCGGACTTTGTACTCCTGCGAGCTACGCGCGCCGCGGCTCGATACTCCGCCCATAGCTTTCGCCGGCTTTGACTGGTCGGTGTCAGCGAGTGGGGGGAACAAGGAACCCCTTACGTTGCGCCTGGTGCGTCTGTCCGGGGAGGGGCAGCGTTGCCGGGTTCGGTATGCCCTCGCTCTGGGAGAGGGCGAACGTCGCCTGCATTCCGGTCCACTTGAGTGCGTGTGCGACCCCGAGGGACGAACGCCTCCTTGGAATCCCCGCCCTCCTTCTCGTATTCTACATAAGGGTGTGAGACTGACGGTGGAGCTGGTGTGGGCGCGCGCGTTGGCTGAGATGGCGGTGTCAGCAGCCGGTCGTGCGGCCACGTGCTACGATCGCGACAAGCAGGCTTGGGCGCTGCGATGCGACACTCACTCTGAGACCGTGCGCCTTCACATGCTATACCGCGACGTGCACCATGTGCCCAGGAACCACCTTCGCTACGTGAGCTGGTCAGCATGGCTAGTGCGCGCTTCACCGGCACCGGGCGAAGCTGATGCCGACGAACTGCCGGGCGCACCCTTCGAACATTACTATGCGCAGGAGAGTGCGGACGAGGGTCTCATGATGGAAACCGCACTTCGAGTGGAGGACATTTCGCGTGCTGGGTGTGCCTTTCTGCACGCGGGCGGCGAGCTCCGCGTTCGTCTTGAGTGGGGCGACACCTATCTTCTCTTCCAGGCTACATACCATGTCTACGATGACCTTTGTCGTCTGCACGCTCATCAAATGAGGTCGGTAACGATATCCTTGGTTGTTTTGTTCTTTTATCTGCGGTGCAAAATACTATATTATATCAGTTTAATTCTCTCTCTGATTTTTAAAGTCGAGTCTAGTCAAGTCAGTGTTTGAATTTAGTTTTTTTTGCAGGCGTGAAATAACAGCGTTACAAGCGGAGAACTATTCACTGGAGCGGCAGCTGTTCAGCTACCAGAAGAGCCTGGCGTATGCGCAAGCGCAGGCGGGGGAGCCGGCGGGCGCAGAGGCCACGGGGCGGCGCTCGCCCGCCGAGCGTTCGCTTTCTACCGACACTGAGTACGCGTGAGACGCGCCCCCCCACGGCCGCGCCCCGCGCCCCTCCCCGCGCCGCGCCGGCTGTCTTCTCATGTGTTCTCCACTCTTCTATCTTCTCGACTGACTCTGACGTTTTTGAGCGATTTATCTATTTTTCTAAAAGTTTTACGGCGAGCCGCGCCTCGCCTGCACGCTTGCCGCCGCCCGCCGGCGCTCCCTGCCGGCAGACGCCCGCACTCTCGCCGCTCGACTCTATCGATAGCCGATTATTATATTCGACTACTTTTCTATTTATCTGTACATAAAATATATTTAGATATTATATATTATGTATATTTCTAACTTGAAACTCGAATTCATATACTGCAAACAGTCGATTTACGATTAAAAATCTAAAAAAGTGTAAAATCTTTTATTCCTTTATGTATAGCTTTGAAAAATATTTATATTTCGCTAGTTTTAAGCATCTTATTATAAAAGCCTATCGGTAAAAGGGATTTGTAATTATTATTGTAGATAAAAGTAGTGAAATAGTGAAAATGTATATTTTCTACAATCTTCTTTACACTTTACGCAAATTATTTATAATTAATCTATATTTAATTCTTATTTATTCTAGATTTTAAATCTTCACAATCAATGCTTGTAGACGTCGATATACAAACGAGAATAAAAATAGGATATATAAACATGAAAGTTTTCTTAATTAATTAAAAATTGCAGTCTTTTAACAACACTTTATCAAATATTTCCTTTGATAACAACCTGATGTTAATTACCTACTTAATACCAATAATCCAGGTTAGTATCTCATATAATACGAGTACGTAAACATTGACAAAAAAGTACCGCTCCAAAGTTTCTATGTACTTTACTTTTATGCTATCGACAAAATGGGCTTAATGTTTCATGCTTTAGAACTACGAAGAAAACTAAACTTTATCCTACTTAGGACTTAACAGTCAGCCTCAAGGAGCTTTAAAACTATACTTGTAACTTAATAGGGACTATTATACTTTAAACTTATAAGTTCTAGGTCAACGATATTGTCATTAAATTAAACTTAAAAAACTTAATTACTCTATGAATTCTCTTATAAACATTTTTCAAATATTCAAGAACTAACTTTCGCCCGCAACTCCGTTCGCGTGGAATAGAAAAAAACAAAACTGAGTAGCCTATGTATTCTTCGAGACATATCCTACATATCCTCTACATCTATGCCAATCGAAATCCGTTTAGGCTACAAACTCTAACAAACATCCATCCATCTAAACTAAGTAAATAAGAACTTTTAACTAATTATAATTTCTGTCACGTAATTCCATTTAATAAGGTCTACTAAAAAAAGCAATAAACAGAATCTAAAGTCGTGAATACTATAACAAAAGGCGTGTGATTCAATCGACTAACGAGCCACAGCCGAGTTGGTGCCAAGTGCTTCAGTACTAGTTACGTCTGTCGCCTCTTGAAGCTTCCTTTAATGAGATCCGATTCTTTAAGTAAACACAATGAAAGCCTGCTTCGTTAAGCAATAGTTATATATTCTTCATCCGTTATTTATTAACTTTATTACAACCGAGGCTTTACTCTGCTGAACCACGTTTAAGAGAACGTTTTTTTTGTTGATGTATCAGTTTTAATGTCAGTTATAAATTCTTTCAAAATATATGTTTTTTGGGAAATTGCATATGTAAGAGGTTGTCCTATCTCTTTTATTTTCATTCTATTGTGACGCGAGTTGAATTAGTCGTATTCTTTTCATAAAATAAACATAAATTTTGTGGTCAACATTAATAAGAATAAAGGTGCCATATATGGTTTGGATACATAAATTTGGAATTTAAAGAAAGGTGGTAAATGTACTTAAAAAGGACATGATTTCAAATATGACGGCTGTTAGAAATTTACGGAAGGGCAACATATAATGTGCCGACCCTCCGTTGATACAAGAGCAAGTTGATAATGCTAATATTTATGCAAGTCTGAACTGAACTCAAGCACATACATTTTAGCACCGGTAGAGGTATACCTAGAAAGAGATGGATAGATTGCGTGAAAGGTGACATGATCAATAAGGCAGTGATGTCTGAGATGACGTATGATATAGTTATATGGAGGACAAAAACCTGTTGCGCCACTACGGGAGGATAAGGAGGAAGATGATGATGTCTTTTAGTAATTTTTCTTTTTAAAAATAACTAAATACGTTTCTGTTTTAGTATAGTTTGTTGTCACACGCTCATAGCAGTCAAAACCATTAGCGCCATTAAGGCATGCATTAATCAGTCTGTCTGGTAACTACACCTATCAATTATTAAACAGTCTTCGAAGGTTGTCATGGACAAATTACTTACACAAGGTTATTTGAAATAAATACACTGTCATAGAAATATTTAATATTATTATATTTAATTTGAGGACGTGGACATATACCAGAAAGTGTTAGGATTGTATTGGATGGTTACAAAATTAGAGGACTTAAGAAAGTATAGATGGACTGTATGAAAGACATGCTTAAGAAGAGAGTGGATTCAGATATGACGGCTCATAGAAATATATGGACGAGCAGCACATACTGTGCCGAACCTCCATAAGAAAAAGGGCATGTTCATGATAACACACCATGTATAATTCTGTTATACATAAAAAAATACGAATTCAGAAATCTAACTTGTATCATAAATGTGAAAGTATAAATGGATGGATGTTTGTTAGAGTTTGCAGCCTAAATTGCTGAATGGATTCGATATAGATATAGCATAGTCTGAAAAAACACAAAGGCTACGTATTGCTTCTGTTTTTTTTTAATCCCAGTTGGATCGAGTCGCTGGCGACAGCCAGTATTAAATAAATAACCTCCCATATCTTATGCCTGGAGAATATGCGTAAAATAGAAATAAAAAAGTGAAGACTTGGTGTACGGGTAACATTATTAACTCTGTCATTAACAGAAGACATTTTCCTTCCAATTCCCACTGTATTCATCGTTTCATGCCCTCCTATTATTTTTGATCGAAAATAGATTGTTAGAATAGAAGTTAACAACGCAATTATGATTGCGGTCTGTCGCCCAATTAACTTGTTTCATTAATTAAAATCGACAGTAATTGACTTATTAAAATGTCGGCGAAAATTATTGAAATTTCATAATAATATTGTTAATAAATTATGTCACCAAAATTGTGGCTTAAAATCTAATTAATTGATTTAATTTATGGTATTTCACGTTTATACTGGCAACTGACACAGAATGTATAACTAAGAAATTGTTGGAAAAATAAATCTGCAAACAACATAAACAAAAAATGTATTCAAGTTGCAAAAAACTTGCGCAAAACTCGACACCCCGTAGTTTTTACAGTACAAAATAATTGTAAAGCAATGTAACCCGAAACAGAAATCGCTGTCCTCGTTTATTACAACATTCGTTTTACATTCTGAGCCCAATTAACTCAGCGTATAGTCAAAATAACCAGAATTTTGTAATCGAGTGTAAAACTACATTACATTCCTCGTCCCTCGGGATACTATGATGAGATTGTTTGCGATAAAACGAACCAGTTTGTATGAACTTAATACAGTTTAATAATTGCTGTGACAAAATTGCGAATCAAAATTATTTTATAATAAAAGTATGTAAACAACTGAAAAGAGCTACACAAAGTTGTGACAATTGAGTATGTTTCTTTTTTAATTGAAAGCAGAGTACCAGGTTTACAATTAGAAATAAATTCAACAAACAAATCTTGAAGCTTTTATAAGTGATTCTATACCATTTGTTTATTATTTTAATCATCGCAATTATTTCTTGAATTAAGAAAGGAGTTCTTAAAGCGAGTTAATTATTTAATATGAGATACTAAAGGTTTTTCATACTTAACGAATCCTAGTACGTATTTTAGCATTGTTAGGTTGTAGAATTTTGTATAAAACTTCGTATATTTAAAGCAGGAGTAAGAGATTTGCAATTTGCAACAAAACCATTTATTGGAAAACGATCGCTATTCGTTTGAATTTTTTGCGCTATTGAGATTAATTTAACGGGATACGGGAGCGACTGTGAAACATTGCGTATAGTTTGCCGCAAACAAAAGCTTGTATATATTTTATCGTATAGAAATTTACATTCGTAAACTGTATAATTGGTTATCCTATACTGCCTTGGTACAAAAAACAATTCGTTCTTCGTTACTCATTGGTAGAGATATAGTAATAATAGCTTTCTTCTACATTATTCTAGCTTTTGTTAAAGAAAAATAAGTAGCCTATGTATTCTTTCAGACTATCCTCTATATGTATGCCAAATTTCATTGAGATCCGTTCAGTAGTTTAGGCTGCAAACTCCAACAAACATCCATCCATGTAAACTTTCACATTTATAACACTAGTATGATATAAACGTAAAAGTTACTATAGATTTTTTTGATTATAATACCTTTGTGCATTCTTCTCCACATTTACTTAAACTATGTCTTTTACATTCATCCGTTAATTACCTTAAAAAGGGGTACAAAGTTATCTATATTAATATAAAGATATGACACGAATGTAACATTATCACGTAATAAAAAAAAAACAATATTAAAAGCATTATAACGCTATTATGATAAGGTTAATAGCATTATGGCTGTGCTTTCTCAGTTAAGCGCAATATAAATGAAAACAAAGGCGGCGCATGACATTGTTAATTAGCGACTGCCTGTGCCGCATACATTAGCCGGAGTAACTCTCAAAGAGGATTTAATATGCCACTTTTCCACGAGGACAATAAAGTGAGACAGAACAGTAAAGATTGCAGTACTGCTGTTGTTTGAATTGACATTTACTGTTATAATTGTAGTACTGTTCTACCCGACTGCTCTATGTGATTGTGCTACCCTCGTGTATGTAAGCAAGGAATACGGTACGCGAAGCGACGAGACGCGACAGATTGTGCAATCTGATCTGCCTGCATAATGTTCCTTTGCTGAAAATAACTAAAACATTATGTTACAGTCGCGTTTTACCGCCTTTTAACTGTTATTTTGCTTTAGTATGTATATATATTTACTTGTTAAGTATATGTCATTTACTGTTGACGATGTTTGTCAAAATCAAATCAATAAAGGTTGTGACTAGAATGATGTTTTCAAAATCCAAATTCTTTCCGATCTTTTCGGTCTGAGATTGTAAAATATAAAACAAAAAGACTAAGAAAATAAGGATTCTTCGC